ACATTTCGCTTATCGATAGTCAAACTATGTAAAATTTGACCAATACTATTGAATATTTTTTATCATATTAACATGAGAAAAATTATAACTTATATTCCCTCCGTTCCAATTTATGTTAACCTGTTTGACTGGGCACGGTTTTTTGAATTTTGTCATCATCAAAAAGGGGGAGATTGTTAGATCTAATTTTAATGATGCAAATAATATATCTGTGCAGGAAATCAATCAGAGAAGATCAAGGAATCAAGGAGCTACTACAAGATTGCTGAAGTCAATCTCGATGCTTAACGAAAGAAATCAATTAGCAAAGATTACAAATCAATAAGCAATGATCATGGACAACTGCGATGGAAAGAATCTCTAAACTTAAGGCAAAAATCAAGGCTAGCACATTCAATCCGGATTCTGAAAGAAGATTAGCTGAGCTGCCAATTGTGAAAGGACCAACAATCAAGGAGTAAACCCTCATCATCAACATCTGTAGAAGGAAAGCGATCAATTGCGATCAATCTCCTCTCATCAAGGAAGAGCAATGGCTAGCAATCTTATTCTTGGAAAGAATCAATATCTTTCCAAGGATCAAATCTCTTGGGTTGTCAAAACTCGTCAGCAAGAGGACTTCACCAAAGTATTTATACTCAGCATCCAGCCTTAGACATATATACTTTGATCAAACCAAAAATCCTTTCTTTATTCTACTGCAAACAAACATTGTAGTTCTTTGAGACCTGCTGTGTAACAAGTTAGAGAAAGAGGAGAGTATAACACTAGTGAGGCATTGTATCAAAAGAGACGAGTGTTATAGGAACTAAGCTATCACGTCATTTCCATTGTACTAGAAGAAACGCATTTACTAAAGAGAAACTCCCTTGCAACCCAAGGGGACTGGACTAGGATTCACATTGAAAACCAGTATAAAATTTCGATGTCTTTAATTCCTGCACTTACTTTCTGCGTTTTATATTCTGCTATTATAACTGTTATGTTATTGCATCCAGTCGACTAATTGAAAAACCAGTCAACTAAGAGAGATTAAGATTAAAAATATACAATTCACCCCCCTCCCCCCCCCCTCTTTTGTACTTTCAAAAAAGGGATTCAGAGTATGTTGTTGTTATAAAAGATTCTCATTAGGGGTAGAATTGAAAGCTTAAGCTAAATTATTTCCAAATTTTAGAAAGAGGTCATTCTTTTTGGAACAGATCAACAAAGAAATAGGTTCACATAAACTTTAACAGAGGGAGTAGTACTTTTCGTATAGTTTTTGAACACCTAAAGTTTAATTTTTGAAATATTGAATTGAACTAATCAATTTAGCTTCAAAGTTTAGCCAAATTGACTCTCGATAAGCAAAATGTGCCATCTAATATGAAAAAGAGGGAGTAAAAATTTAGCTCCTAAAGGTCATGACAAGGCTATTTTTCCTACTAAAATAAAGTAGCTTAATCCCTAAGGCATTTCCAACCATATGCATAGTCGAAGAAAGGTGATCAAATAGACTTTAAATTAATTTGTATTCGAATTAATTTAAAATTAAAAATCTTACAGTAATTAACTACTCAATATATTAATAATTTTATGGATATTTCAATCATTTTAATAGAGTCAACGCGTTTTTATTAAACACATCAATTATTTATTTTCAACTTAAGCACTTCTATCTATACACATAACTAATCGTCCACAAAACCAGCTCATCACATAAAAAAGTATTTTTCAACATTTGGTATTAAAAAACTATTTAAAGTAAGCTAACTCAATCGGGTCTAATCTCACCAATAGAAGGAAAGGACGCGGAATGAGAGATGTTGAATTGGTCAGCATTTAATATTTTGAATTGGTCAAATTTTCTGTCTACATGCCTTCTTGTTCACTTCTCATGATTTACACTCTAAAGTCTTCCTTTTTAGATTCAAGTTTCTCATAAACAGTTTCTTCTTCTCACACTAATCTCCTACAAAAGCTCTTACAAAATCCATCATTTCATGCACCCAACTTCTCCGAACATTCCGGTGCACAAAACAGCCAGCATTCATGTAAAGTTCGGAAAAGGACCGCATTTCAAAGAGTGTGATATAAACAACCTACCCTAATACAAGCATTAGTAACTGCTTCCACGACTCCATCAAATTTAAGAAATCTTCTTAAGCTTCTGATCCAATTAAAAGGCGAAGTTTTTCTTTTTCCATATACATTTAAGGAACCCTAGAACCTGAGTTAAACTAGCTACATTCCACTCTCTTCATCATTCCGAGATTGTGCTCGTTTTCGCCGGTAATTTGCTTATCAATGACATTCTACTCATAAGTAAAATTCCATTGTTCTAATTGCTACATTCTTGTGGGAAACAACCTCTCTCTACCTCCAATAAGGTAGGGCTATGATTTGCGTACACCCCATCCTCCTCATACTCCACTTGTAAAATTTTACTGGGTATGTTATTACTGTTAAGACTTTATGCAAATAAGAAGATCAAAGTGCCACGCCAACCGAAAGAGTTAAGCTGCTAGGCTTCACAGTAGTACCTCCCTTTTTATCTTTATGAAAAGGACTTAAGTAGCTAAGTTTTCAAAGGTGATCGAATACCCCTGTCCTTTATAGTATAGTCGTAAAGGGCTTCTTAGAAAAGTCAGGAAGAAGTTCGAACTACCGATCGACCACTATCTCATAGGCATTCTGGTGGTAAAACTGGTCCAATTCTTTCTTTTTAAAATGGACTTTTCTATCAACCCGGAATACAACTCACTCATCAATGGGCTAACTCAAGGCATGGAACACACTAAGCAACTTAGAGCTTACTTGAGTTCTGTAGCTTCCACTTCTGAAACAACTCAAGAGGTTCTTTTGCAGAAGATTCATTCTTCTTATGAGCAATCTCTGTTAATTCTCAAATGGAGTGGCTCAACATCCCAATCCTCACTGCCTCTACCATCAACAATTGGTACAATTGAATCTCCGGTTTTTGCCGATGGAAGTCCTACGAGTTATGACATGAAAAGGAGTTTCATACATCATCCGGAGCTCATAGATAATTCAAAAAGGAGGTAAATATAATATATATTTTATATATGACACTTTATCTTTTGTTATGTTTAAAAAATAACGACACATTTTTTATTAAATACTCTCTCTGTTCCAATTTATGTGAACCTGTTTGACTGAGCACGGAGTTTAAGAAAAAATGAAAACTTTTGGAATTTGTGGTCTTAAACAACTCAAAAAGGGGTCCACACTATTTGTGTGGTTATAAAAGCTTCTTACTGAGGGTAGAATTGAGAATTTAAGCTAAATTGTTTCCAAATTTAGAAAGGATTCATTCTTTTTGGAACGTACCAAAAAAGAAATAGATTCACATAAACCGGAACAGACGGAGTAATTCTTTAATATAAGCTTCTCATTTTATCCTCAGAGGTCGTTTGTGGTTGTTACCTTTGTTTTTCGCAGAAATAATACATATGTAACAACAACAACAACAACAACAGCCCAGTATAATCCCATTAGTGGGGTTTGGGGAGGGTAGTGTGTACGCAGATTTTACCCCTACCCTGGGGTAGAAATGTTGTTTCCGATAGACCCTCGGCATCCCTCCCTCCAAGAACTGCCCATCTTGCTCTTGGGGTGACTCAAACTCACAACCACTTTGTTGGAAGTGGAGGGTGCTCACCACTAGAGCAACCCCCTATGATTGATTTTGTATGGGATAAAATGTGGAATAAGAATGTGGATATTAATAATACATGGATTAAAAGCACTAATGACAAAATTAATCCTCGAGATAGTAAACAAACTTTTTATTTTGTTTAAATTGTAAGCATATGCTTTAAATTATACCATATTGTAAATTAAATTGCAATATATTGTAAGCATGCTTTAATCTCTACATTGCAAGTCTCACGTTACCAATCTATGTATAACTTGTCTATGAACAAAAGGACTCCTTAATGACATGCTTTTGTCGCACTGGAAATTTTTACTATATTTTTAAAACCACAAGTCTCAAGGGTGCTTTTGCTTTGTGCCAAAAGTGCTTTCTTTCTTAAATATCATATCTAGTTGAACACTGCTATATAAAATGAAATAGAAAAAGTATTAATCTATTCATCTAGGTAAACTGACGTGGTTCTTGATGGGTGTAGCAAAAAATCAGAGCCCTTATGGACTGAAAAAGTCAGAGTCAGCGCAGAGAGCGGATCTGAAGGTCCTATTGATGATGAATATAGCCGGAGAAAGTACGGACAAAAAGATATTTTGGAGCTAAATATCCAAGGTAATAAGACAATTTCAATACCCTGAATAAAAAACTATAGGTTGTACAATCCTTTATATCTTTTCGGCTATATTAAAGTTCATTTAATTTCAATATTCCACTAAATAAATTTACATTTTAAACAAATTAAGGGTTCTGCAAATATTACATATATATCCTTAAAGTGGAACTTTTCATGTTCTAAATATTATATGCACTAACAATATTAATCATGCCTATCTACTTTTACAACAACAACAACAACAAATTCGTTTTCCTACAAATAGGGTATGGGGAGGGTAATGTGTACACAGACCTTATTTATACCTTGTGAAGGTAGAGAGACAGTTTCCAGTAGACCCTCGGCTAAATAAAATGCTTATCTACTTTTCAACTTTTAAATATCAAATTCGGATGCTCTTTTGGTCATTCTGCTTTACAAGTAATACTGTTTGATCAAAAAGTGTTAAGCTTTTTATTAAACTAATTAATGAGGAAATAAAGGGAGAATCCTAGTTACATATAATAAATTCTAGATGAAAAACTTAGACAGATCTGTAGGATGAGATCGTGTTTAAGAGTAATAAAGATCAGATACGCATTCAATGAGTGTCAATGAATGTTATAATAAGAACATGCAATAAATGTAGATAATGGCAATAAATATAATAAAGAGGAATTTATCACCCAAATGTTAGTTGGTTTGGGTGATTCTTCTTCCTGACAGCTGTTAGTAGACTGTATTTGTAAAATAATTTTGGAAATATAAATGAATATAAACAGAAATGAACATAAACAGAAATGACATAAAACCAATTCGAGCCCACTGAATTCATAGTGTTTCCTTAAGCAATTTAATCCCCTCCTAGTACCCAAGGTTATGGATTATTTCCTCCCAGGATAGAACGAATTACACACTGGTGTAGTGGTACTTCAAACCCCAGTGTTTCAGCGAACACAAAGTTCGGTAGCAAATCACACTTACTTTTTACTTTGTTTGATGCTAAAAGTATGCAGAAGAAGGAGAGAAAACTCAGAAAATCGTAGTGAAATTCTGAGCAGAATAGTGTTGTATTTATAGCCAAAGTTGGGCTGAAATCTGAAGAGGTGCAACTCTTCAGAATGGCTGTTTATGCAAAACACCCACAGCATAAATGCCATTACATAAATGGCCATTTACTCAACAATAAAGAGGGAAAATAAAGAGGGAAAATTGAAGAGGGTAGTTACTTTTCTGTTACCAAAACAGAAAAACGGATTGGATTTAATATTAATATTTAATATTAATATTCTGTTAATAAAACAAATATTTAATAATATTTCTGTTAATATTTTACTATTAACAAATAAATTTGGTCCAAAAAGTTAATCAATCAATCGATCATTTGACCAAATCCGAATCCGAATCCGAATCCGAAACCGAAGCCGAAGCCGAAGCCGAAGCCGAAGCCGAAGCCGAGCCGAGCGAGCGACGACGACGACGGCGCGAGGCTTGCCTTCTTCTCAACTCTTTAAGAGCTAGAAGAAGAGCAATTGCTTATATACCCATAAAAAACCCTCTTCCTCTTCCAATATGGGACAATGCCCATTTGCCAAGGGGGGGAACTTAAAATTTCACTCAAAAATTTCATTTCCCTCCATTTCCCATTCACCCTCTTTTAAGTATTTAACATATTAATTAAATACATCCAAAACCCAACAATCCCCCACATGAATGGGGAATGGCTATATCACGGAAGTATGCATGAAAAACTGTGTGATTCGCAAGTAAGGTTTAATTGCATCTGGATAAGTAGGTTTCCTTTTGAACTTTCCGTAGTGAACTTATGTCGGATATACTCGATCAATCAGTAGATTTGATATCTTTGAACCGTTGAACTTTAGTGTATACCTAGACAACCATAAGTCACACAACCAACCCTTAAC